ATGTGGGGGTTGTGTCATTCCTCGGTATGACAGATATAAATATATTTATATCATATTTCCTCATTGTGATTAGATTCCTTAACAGGGAACAAACAATCCACTGAAAATGTGCCTTGCTTTTGAGAAGTGACTTTGTCGTTCAGCTGGTTGTAATGCCTAGCTAGATTCTTAGAGGGAAGCATTTGAAACCAACAGTGGCCTGAATTTGTTTCAGGTTTCTTTTCTTCCTATTTCTTCAGTAATTGCAGTTCACATGAGAAAATTGTTTCATTGCATGTTCTCATTTGTGGTTCAAAATAGCACATATTTCATATTAACTAATTGTGATTTCTCTCATTAGGGTAACAGTTGTACACCAAACATCACTCTTTTCTTATTTAGTGAATTGATCAGAATTACTTTTTTGCAGGTTGCATCATTTTTTGCCCCAGAAGTAATGGTGAGAATGTGATAGTAAATTTAAAATAATTATAGTAAATATGGTTTTAAGAAAGTCGAACAACACTATTAACCACTTGTGCTGATCTTGTTTTAATGTCATAGTTAAGAAGATTCCCTTAGTTGATACAATTCTTATTCTTATCATTTATTCTGGTTCATATAAGGTGGATGGAAGTGCCCATGGTTTGAGTATAAAGCTGAGAACAAGTTTAAAACGAATATCAGACAATCTTATTCAACATGTAAGTACCATAAACACAAAGCAAGACTAGCTTATATAGCTAATAATGTTATAGCAAAAGTTACAACCAGATTTATTACTGAAAAACAACTCCTTACTTGGCTCTGATGATGATTTCTACTTTGGTCGTCAAATCATTCTTTGTCACTTATTATAACTACTGTAAACAGTAGAAATCACTTTCAAAAGTTCTTTGAACAGTTAATCTCAAAATATAATGTGTTTCTTTCAGCCTGTCTGTCTTTAATCAACAGGAGAGATAACTCATTATAAACTCATTCTTGCTAAAGGTTTAGCTTACTTGATTCTGATAATCTGAATTATTCATTTTCGCAGTTGGAGTCTGCTGAGATGATGAGTAATGGAAGTGATATGAAGGTTTGAAGTGCATGATGGATAAAATTTGTGTCAAGGAATTTATTGAAGGATCAAAAAGTAATTAGAATAAATAATTTTTCATATTCTCAGGTTCAACACCCTTACTTGTCACCACTTGTGGATCTCTCTCGAGTTGATACCATGTTTGGCTTGTCTGAGAGAATAATTGCTACAGAATCCCTGTAAGTTGCAGTGCTTCTCTTTTTCAAAGTTTTAGGAATCATGTTTATATTTTGTGACTAACCAGTGTCTGTAAGATCTTCAGTATTAAAAATTCAACAGAAGGCATTTTCCTGTAAAGTGTTACTATGTAGATGCAAGGTTCTACTGGTTTTTAGAATCTTTGATGTATTTTGTCTTTTTTTGTTTCAGAGTGTTTTTAGCTGGTCAGTTTGAATTTCTTCATCCCCATCTTGAGTCAATGATACCTGCTAACAAACGAGCATTTCTTTCACAGTTTTATTCCCAGGTAAACTCCTTTTGAGTCAGTCAAAAAAACACGAAGTATCACTTGTTATGAAATTTTATTTATGAAAACATTGAAGAGTTTCAGTTAGGAGTTAACCACAAAGTTTGATTGACTGAAATCCACAGACTGTGAATACTGCTCAGGAACTCAGGCGGCCAGTTTACAGAAGTGTTGGCTCAAGAGTAATTGATTATGATCAGGTGAGAATTCTTCTGAAAAGATCCTGAACAGTGTTGTTAGGTTAGAATTTCAAACTTCACATGAAAAAAATAACTTACTTATGAAAGTTGGAAAACGACAAAGCGAAATAAACAAGGATACTTACAAGACGAATGTGACCAAACCTGAACAGTGTATGTAACGGTAATTTTCACAAACTAGACAACTAACCAAATAAATTACGCGCAACCAATATATATACGATATGCAAATAAATATAACAAGTAACTGAAGTATGGAAGACGAGAAAATAAACACCTTTACATTAAATAGAGGTAGAAGTAGTGAGGATTATGAAATAGCTACATATGAACTTTAAAGGAAGATGATTTAGTTTTATCAACTGAGTTGATAAAGCAAATTGGTCATGATCAAGAATTTCTAAAGCTTATGTTTTGAGTGCTAGCCCTTCATTGGAGCTAAAGTTTTGAAAGGAATTAAAGAATATACTGATTAATCAGGTACAAGGATCAGTCACAGGATTTTTTTATTATTTATTACTTGCTTGTAGAGTTGTACAAGAGACCAAAGATGACTTACCCCATTTCAATTGATTTCAGACACTTCAGCTGATGACTGGAGTGCGATGGGACATTCGGGACATCATGTCACAACACAATGCCTATGTGGACATTCTTGTGCGGGTACAGCTCATATTCTGAAATGAAATTAGCATTTGTGCAGATTGTTTTCTGCCAATCATATTGGACAGTTAACTTTTATTGATTTTTCAAACAGTGTTACCCAACTAAACAAAACAATTTGGCACAAACTGACACATTAAAATCTTCCCTCAGGAAAGATGTATGAATAAATCATAAGTTGGTGAAAAAGGGGTATTATGTGGAAATTGTGTTCTTTCTTGATTAATTATTTGTGCTTTTTCAAGTATTTTGGTAGACATTTAAAAGGTGTTTAACAGGTGTTTCTAAAAAAAAGCAGTCTACATTCTTGAAGCATCAATTCTGAATAACAGTGTATTGACATCTCCTTTATAGAGAAAAACAGGACCAAATGATTAGTCAGAGTAAACCAAATAATTCTGCATTCCATCACATTGGCATATTGTAGCTAATTACTTCTCTGTACTCTGCTTTGTTAATCAGGAATTACAAGTTTTCAGTATGAGACTGTCTCAACTAGCCAAGTAAGTTTTTGATCCCCAAATGTAATTACTGGTGAACTAGTTTATTTCACTAATCATGAAAATCTGCACAACATTAGAGTGCTTATTGCAGAGATCACACAACCAGAAGCATCTTGGAATTACATCAGTTTTCTTACAAAATTATTGGCAGTCTGTAGACTGAAAATTGACATTCAGTTGAGTTCTCTTTGTACCCACAGACAAATTCCTGTTCCTCAGGAGGCTCACTCAGTATTGTGGGATCATTGTATTCGCCTCGTGAACAGAACCTTTGTTGAAGGGTGAGAATGCTTCTGCTAAGCTGCAAAGACCTGCTCTATATTTCTGTGTATAGCAAACTGGTGTTAAGTGCATATTTCAGGAAATTCAGGGCTTTCTTTGTTCATGAGCAATGGTCTTTTATTTTAAACATCAAGTGGACTAATTAAACAAGTTTGTTTTCTGAGCAGTGTATAAAATACAAATTTCATAGCAAAGTGAATCAGAGTCTTTATTGAAGACCCAATTTATGTAGTGATGTTCTGCTTCATTACATCCGTGCCCCCTTTAGTTGCGGTAGTCACAAGAATCTGTCACCTTGTTTGGGTTTTCAATATTTGTATCTGCCTGTAAGTGGTAAATAGGGGAGGTACCGCAGGTTAATTGCCCGAATCTTTTTTGCAGGCATCTTTTAACGGTAGTTAAAGGCCCTATTGGCACTTCACTACTGTCAATTAAAATGCTACTGAAGGACACCATGCATAGATAATCAAATCACTATATTCAGGGTTTTTGTTCTTGAAGATTTGCAAGTGCCAAAAAGTGTAGCAACGAGGGCCGAGCATTGATGCAACTTGACTATCAACAATACCTCATGAAACTGGAGAAACTTACAGATATTCGGTAAGAAGGGTATGATATATTACGAATCCAGTAGGTGATTTCTGTCACAAAAAATATTGAGCAACATGATTGATTGTGACTTTATTTTTCTCAGACCAATCCCGGACCGAGAGTTTGTAGAAACATATGTCAAGGCATTTTACCTCACTGAGAATGAAATGGAAAGATGGATCCGAGAACACAAGGTTAGTGAAATCAGTCATTAACTCTGCATGGAAGGTGTGTGTAATCAATGTAGAGTGGAGATTGTTTATTAAATTTTCCTTCCTTTGTGAAATACTTAGTAAATGAATCACGAAATCTAGATCTGAAATGATGTAATACTTCAGGCTTTATAAGTAGATGCTCAATTTTATTTCTTCTTATTTAGTTTCTTTTCTTAAAAGGAGTCTTTGCTAATGGATCCTGGATACTAATGGATATTAATGGATAAGAGCCATCATTTCTCTACAATTAAATTAAACTTTTATTTATGTTGAAAAAGCCCCAATAAAATACAGTAGTGAGAAATACCAAAGAATCTAGCGAATAAAATTGGCCAGAATAACTGCTACCCTTTGACTGATACATTCCTCGTAAAACTTATGATTCACACTTTGGTCATTCATAATTTGGTTCGTTTCTATTTCACCCAAAGAGAGTGACCAAAAAGCTTTCAATTAAAATAAAACCTTTTAATTTTGCTTTGTTTGGGACTTCTGGTGATTAAGATATGCTATTATTTTACTTCCTTTTGTAGTCAGCAGTCCTCATTTGACCATGGCATTGTCTTATTCGTCAAATCCTTTCAATTCTTAGTCATCTCAGCAAATTGTTCTTCCTTTTTTATGATTATTTCATAAAGATTTCTTCTTTTTCCTCAGGAATACTCTGCTAAGCAGCTGACAAGTCTGGTGACATGTGGTGTCGGTTCACATGTCACCAAAAAAGGAAAACAAAAACTGTTGTCCATTATTGAAGATATGGAACGCTCCAAAGCTCGGTAGCAGGAGGACTGGCTTTCATGGTCTGCATTTCATTGCTAATTCAAGAAATTGTGCGATAGCAATGACGATGTAAAAAGAGAACGAGGAGGAACTCAATTTTTTTTTAGCCGGAGCTGTATGATAAGAAGTGCGAAGAAGAAACGATTGGATGGACTAAAAGTTTTCTTAAAAATAGTGAAATGTTTTTGGTAAACTTAAATCAGGCAGAGAAATGTTGAATTGGCCTTCAACGAACGTTTACTTCATTTGTTACAGAAACTTTATAGTCTTGTAAGGGCCAGTAAAAAAAAAGCTCATTTGGATTTTTTGAAATAAGTATTCTAGATTTCTCAATACATTTAAGTATTTTGTAAATTGTAATGATATTTTCGAGATTAAAGGAAAAAAGCGTCGTCAAAAAAAAAAACAGAAAAACGTATGCAATCTTTTGTTTTGCTTCTGTCAAAATATTGGGTACTGGAATGAAGGTTTCTTGAATATTTATGTTCCATTCACCCCGCTTAGTGTCTCCTTACCTTGCCCCATAACAGCTTAAGACAGCGAACGTCTTGAGCGTCAAAAATTCTAGCATGCGTGGCTGGCAGTGACTTCCTTCGTGATGTGGTAGTACTTGGCAGTAAGTGCAGTAAGCACTCCACTTACCACTATAATGGAGCTAGCATTACTTAGGAACTATATCTTTTTATATACACTAATATAATAGAAGCTGACTTTTACCGCAGAGGAACTTTAAGACAGTTTCCGTTCTTCTTTGTTGCTCCTACTTATTGCATATTTTCATTCTCTACAAATGCAAAACTCTTTCAACATAACTCAGTTCTCAGAAAAAATGAATATACAATAAAAGTATCCAACCTGGCTCATGCAGTTTGCGAAGACTTTGCTAATTTTTTGTACAATGCTCTCATTAGGAGGCAACAGCTTCTGGCAAGTATACTGAGTTTATATTGAAAAGCATTTTTCAACATTATATTCAACCATCTTATCCTGGAGCTGATTACAGGATGTTTTTGCCCGTATCTTTGTCTGTTCAAGGTTGATCTCCATTCTCGTGTACTTTTTGAAATATCTCAAATTTGGTCACGGTTCAACGTGACCGCCAAGTATCTGTAGAGAGTTTCGTTACTTTTACAATAGACACAAAAGTAGAAAGATGAATTTTCGTTTGTAGCTAATCTGCCATTAGTGTTCTGGACTGAAATGGGAGAAGAAACAGAAAGAGTAATTGTGGACACTATTTCAACATCTGATATGAGGATATGAAATGAGTTCCAGTTATTACGAAACCAACCGACCCGATATTTAGCTTAAGGGCTAAGGAAACACCCACAGATGTCAACCTAGCGCTATAAGAAAGTCCAAAATTTTCATGTAAATAACGCGCTTAAAATAGCATGTATATTTGGTAAAAACTTAACCACCGGATAGCGATTTATCCAGTAAATAGCATCATCTAGCCTTTAAACAAGCGAGGTCTGGCGGATAGCACAAAGTTTAATTTTTCGTACAAGTTTCATCGATTATTTTATTATCATTTCAGCCGTGACTGAACAGAAAAAGAAAGAAAAATGTTTAAAGCCCGTGAAAAATAATAAGTATGGCTTATTTCACATCATATTTTGCTATTTTGATAGAGGTATCATTTTAACGCTAACGACTACGACAAAAATGGAAGTTTTGTTACTTCCTTTTTAGTTTCTGCATTTTGTGCAAAACTTTCGCACTCATGGCGAGGCCCTTCTGTATTTTGTCTTGAAAGAAAAATGAGAGAAACCAAATGTTAATTTGCCTTTTTCGTTTTGCTACAACAAAATGTGCCTCTAATGAATGGTGCTGATTAGAAAAATCGTGCGCGCTAAAAACCCGTGCAGTTAGACGAGCCATTCAGGGAAGAGCTCAATAACCCACGACGAACGACTACGACAAAAATTGAAGTTTTGTTACTACCCTTTCAGTTTTTGCATTTTTTGCAAAACTTTTGCACTCATTGCAAGGCCCTTCTTTATTCTGTCTCGGAAGAAAAATGAGGGAACCCAAATATTAATTTGCCGTTTACGTTTACCATAACAAAATATGCCTCTAATGAATGGTGCCAATTAGAAAAATCGTGCGCGCTAAAAACCCGTGCAGTTAAACGAGCCATTCAGGGAGAGCTCAATAAACCACGTGTACGCATAAGTTTAAAACGGCGCCCTTTCTGAAATTATCACAAGCTTAGAGAAGTAATCTCTCCTTTGGAAGATTTGGAAGATTCTTTCGTTTCTCGTTTCGTCGAACTTCACGTATCATTTCTGGCAACGGACGGAAGCAGGTAAGTGTTTATCGATGCTTATATAAACAAGTAAAACTGTGTAAACTAATTCAAAAAGGAAGCTAAGCCATTTACAAATTCAAGAGGGGTTTTAGGCCGAAGCTTCGTTTCATGAAATCCTTTAATTCTTTTCAGTCGCTCGTGTTTCTGTTCATTACTCAGTAGTACAAATTCTATTGCATAATTTTTTTACAAAATCGGCTTTCTTGAAATTCTTCTTTGAAACTGTTGTCGCGCGGAGGACCATTTCTAATCTTTCATCTTCTTTGCTGAAATTCCGCGTTATGTGGCGAAAGTGTGGTTTGTGCTCTTAAAATTTTAATAAGTTACAACTTTGAAGCGAAACTAACTGTCTTAATCAAGTTACGCATATTAATTTTGATAGTGAATATATCTATAGCTTGTTTATGGAGGCATTAGTTTTAAACATTGTGCGTAATATATAGATGACGAGTGAATTAAGGAAATATTTCAATTGACTTCCTAAGCAGATTCTGAGAATTTCCTTCCTGTCAACCCTAAGCAACCCTGTCAACCCTTAGCTTCCAAGATCAGTCAATTCTCCCCTTTGGCTGCTAAACATTTCCTTCCAATTAGTTACAGGAATTTGATATCAGATCAAGATAACTTCTACGAGATGAATTTGAATATATATCAATATCTCATTGAACCTGTTTGCTGGCTAATGTATAAATAATATAGGGAGAAGTTTCATGTTAATTACTTCTTAGAGTTCAAGAGGTAACCGCTCGTTATGAAAAGTAAAAAAATTAGGCTCACACTTGTGTTTTTTTTTCTTTTCAATCGAAACATCATCTGAATGATAAAAATTTCAGTAATACGCTCTTTAATCAAAGAAGGCTTGTAAATCCTGATATTTTAGACGAAACACCCTTTTTTCAAAGCAAGTCTTGATTTTCGGGCATTAACGACAAAAAGCCCTTTTCTTATCTCAGTTTTTATAAATTCAAATCTTGTTTACATGATTGGCTGTTATCTCCACTATTTGCTTAAGATTTAATTTGCCTGTTTGTTTGCTTCTTTTCTGGGCTTGAAATTTAAATTTAATTCTACGTCAAGATTCTCCAAATTTCGCATGGAAAAATTAAAGGTACGCCTCGATGTTTATGTTCATGACTCCAGACCAAGCTGATATTTTGAAATTTGAAGGGGGTTTCGCTCTCAGACATTAGTCATTTTTTGGTAATCTTAAAATCTAGGAGTTACTAACATTTAATTTCTCTTGACATTGTTACCCATCCATCACAAATTAAGATCACACACATAAGAAGAAAGGAAATAATCACCAACAAACGAAGCTCATGAAAGTTAAACACATTCTCCCTAAGAAATTTGTAGAGAACAGTATTGAGGATAAAAACACTGATGTAAAGATGTAAAGGGTTAAGGAGTGACTCGAACTAAACAGTTTTTCCAATCTTATTACTCCTGAGGGTTACTCTGGTAAAATGTTTTAAATTTACCCTTGTTGACCAACCAAGTTTTTCAATGACTGGGTTGAAAACGTAAATTAGCCACCGTTCAGCGTTAGCCCTTCGTCAGAGCGATGACGAAGGGCTAACGTCGAAACGTTTTTTTACGTTTTCAACAACACTAAATCACCTGCTATACTCTCCCACCGACGCAGCACCACAGTTTCTTTAGAAACTTACCCCTTTATTCACAAGTTTTTCAATGTTTCAGTAAAATGTGTTTAACAGAAAATTCCTGTTTAGTTCTTCTGACATGCGCGATGGTTGCGAACTCAGAATATGATTATTTTGCAATGTTTCCCCTTCCACTATGGGCCACGATGATTTCACGTATTATTTATTTCTTTAAAATATCCACAATATCTTTCTCATTTAGACTTATACGACACACTCCAGTCCAAACACCGCTCAGTCCATTCCAGTCTAGCGAGTCCAGTTCATCGTGCATTTAGTCCAAAACTCAAAGTCCAGTTCCATGCAGTCCCGTACGGCCCGGTCAAGTCCACGCCATTCCTTTCCATGTGGTCCAGTCCGTCATCACAAGACAGGTGCTGACTCTAGTTACCAATACAACTCGCATATGGACGGGAAAGCGTGGTGAAGAAAAGGGCCAACGCTCCATTGGATTTTTCTTCTCTTCCTTTCTGTTACATACGTGGAGGCTGGGAATAAATCAGTTAGAAGACGCTGATGTCTGGCCGGTTAGTAAGATTCTTTGTGGGTTGGGATGAAGAGGGGGTTGATAAATGGCGCGCTGGTCAAACTGTAAAATCCAAATTCTACTAGAAGTTGTCATACTTCTGATTCGGCTCGAAGAAGTTAAAGTAAAAACTTTAGCCAACTTAGTTAGTGGGTCTCCTTGAGGTTGGGCGAGGTCCTCCCTCCAAATTTTTTTCTTTAGATTTTTTTTTTCAATCGAATACTGTTCAGCATATTTTCGGTTTGGATCGTTTCTTCTTCGTCGCTTCTTTGGTTTGCACAATATAGGCTTCGTTTATACTTCGGCTCTTCATCAACAGGGCTTTCGGTGTTCATCGGCTGCTCATCGACTTAAGCGCGCATCTTCCCCATAGTTACTTCGACTACTGCCGATTACATTTCCAGTTTCACTTGATTGAAGGATCTCTAACACGGTGATCGAGTAAGACTGTTTAACGTAAAAAAAAAAGTTTGGCTCGAAGGTTCAACCAGATTTTCACGTTATTATAAGAGATCGGATCTAAGCAATTCAGCTATGACAGCTAATTAGAATTGAGGATAAGCCTTTGAGAAGAGATTATGCACGTATTAATGAAAATTGAGATCGTGTTGCTTTCGGAGTTCAGCTTCACTTTCGGTTTGAATTTCACTTCGGCTTTTCGTTCAGCCTTTCGGAACTTGTTCGGATTTTCAGTTCGTAATACAAAGGCTGTGGGAAGCGACTGAAAGTTGTTAACAAGTTGATATAAAAGCGAAAGCACCGTCTGGTACACTATGGGTGT